GGTAGCCCAGGCTGGCCTCGAACTCACAGAGATCCGCCTGGCTCTGCCTCCCGAGTGCTGGGATTAAAGGCGTGCGCCACCACCGCCCGGCTAATGCTGTGAATTTTTTAAAAAATTACATTTATTTTATATGTATGTCTCACCTGTACCAGAACTGGCACATGTAGATCCTAGGGACTGAACTAGAGTTTTGAGCAGCGTAATTTGTAAAAGCCACATTATTTAGTACTATCCTGGATGTTGTGATTTACATCCTTAATTCCAATATTTGGGAGTCTGAGGCAGGATGATTGTGAGTTTAAGGCCATCCCTGTATTTAAAAAGGAAAAAAAAAGTGGGCCCAGAAGACTGCTGAATCTCTGCTTCATTCATTTTTTATGAAAGACAAAACAAAACTAACTGAATATAGTAGAAAGCTACTGTTAGAAGCAATCTTAGAAGGAACAGTGTCTCCTCTTAAATCCTGTTATTTTAGCACAATATCTTATAACTGTGTCAATCTCCAAGACAAGGATTAGATTGTTGATTATTGATGTTATAACTTCCCAAACAGAGAAGGACCACATAAACAGAAAGTATCATAAACTGCTAGTGCATTGATGCTTGGTAGGTACATGTAAACATTAGTCTTACTTCCTAGTTATACTCAGTGAATTAGTCATGCAGTTACATGTAAACAAACATTAAAAAACAAGAAGTTCTGAGGTTGCAGATTTACTCCCCTCTTACTTGTGGTTCTGTGGCAGATACAAGCTGCATCCTGAACATAGGCTGCAGTTACCAAATACCGGTAATGTTCAAGGAGGCTAGAGACTGACAGAATTGTATCAGTTTAGGACTATGGTACAACTTTAGGGTTAACCAAGGAAAAAAAATCAGTGAAATTATGTCTAAAACAGTTTTTTACAAGGTAACAAGTTAATTTTTTATATTGATTTATTGATGATCTCCTCCTCCCCCCCCCCCCCCAGACAGGGTTTCTCCATGTAGCCCTGGCTATCCTGGAACTCACTTTGTAAACCAGGCTGGCCTTGAACTCCGAGATCTTCCTGCCTTTGCCTCCCAGAGTGCTGGGATCAAAGGTGTGTACCATCACAATGTTGTTTTTAAAGTTAAACTACGAGATACATTAGTGAATTAATAGATCCTGGGTTTAAGGTTCTGTTTGGTCTTTCTGAGGTGCACGGCTCTAGTCAGTCCAGTTAAACCTGCTGTACAGTGCATACAGATCAGAGAGCCTGTTGAAGTTTGCGTCCTGTGGCTTCGATTAAACACCATTCCCGAAAGAACTTGGGGAGCAAACCGCTTATTTCATTTATATAGCTTGTGGTCCATCATGAAGGGGAGTTAGGGCAGGAACTGAAGTAGAGGGCATGGAAAACACTGCTTACTGTCGTGCTCAGCCTCTTTCTAATGCAATCCAGGACCACCTGCCCAGGGGTGGTACTGCTTGTGTATAGTGAGCCGGGCCCTTCCACATCAGTCACTAGTCAAAATATGCCTTACACAGGCCTTTTAAAATGTATATACTGGTTTTATTTATTTGAGATAGGGTCTCGCTGTGCAGCTCTCACTAGCCTAGACCTCACTAGAGCATGCTGGTCTTGAACACAGATCTTTCTGCTGTGTTAAAGGTATATACCACCATGCCCAGCCTATAGGCCAGTTTTATGGTACATTTTCTCTGTTGAGCTTCCGTCTCCTAGATGAGACTCTAGTTTGTGTCAGGTTGACAAAAACTAGTCAGCACAGGGTCCAGTTTCATTTCCTGGCATAAAGTTAGCTACTATCAGGCTAAGATTTTATTTGCTATAGTGTTTAAATAAAAATATCCTTGGAGTGGAGAGGGCGCTCTGAGGAATCAAATGTAAGGTCCTGTGCATGTAAGGCAAGCGCCCTGCCACGGAATATGCAATCCTATGACAATGTCTTGGTTTATGCTCTCATAATGAAGGTTTGAGTTCTGTTCACTTCACCTTAGTTGTGTGCACTCAGATGTACTATGTTAGTTCTCTGTTTTGTATATCAGATTACCTGGAATCTGAGTTACAAAATCTGTTACCTTAAAATTAACTTGTATCAAGGCCAGTCATGATGTTGCAGGACTTTAATCCCAGATTTTGGGAGGCAGAGACAGGTCTCTGAATTCAAGGCTAGCATGGTCTACTTATGAGTTCTAGGACAGCCAGAGCTACATAGTGAGACCTTGCCTTGAAAAAAATCAACCAACCAAAAACCTTGGCGAAAAAAATCAACCAACCAAAAACCTTGGCGAGTTTTTTTGTTGTTGTTGTTTGTTTTTGGTTTTTTGAGACAGGGCTTCTCTGTGTAGCTTTGGCTCCTTTCCTGGAACTCACTTTGTAGCCCAGGCTGGCCTTGAACTCACAGAGATCCGCCTGGGATCGAGCACTGGCATTAAAGGTGTGCGCCACTACTGCTTGGTTCCAACCAAACACCTTGTATGAGATGTCCTGGTATGAGTTAGCTACTAGGTCTTCTGCTGCTTATGTTAGCTGACCGGAGCTCACGTTCTTTAGTTTGAAATCATTGGTTGATAGAATGTGGTATTCCCCACTTACTCATTGTCATCTGGTAACTGCTCCAGTGCCAGGGCCTGCTGTCCTCAGTTCCCAGCTCTGTGGGGCCCACCCTTCTCTCATCTTCTCAGAGTACTACAGCTTGGTTTGAAAGGCTGATAGGAGAGCTTTTCAAGAACGGCGGCTCAGTTCTGTTTTTAGAACTTTCTCTGATTAAGTCAGGCTCTCTTATGATGGCTTCCCTCCTGATGAACTTAAGATCCACCGTTGGAATCTTGATTACTCTGAAAAGCACTCCCACTTTGGCACCCCCCCCCCAATGTTCTCTATCAAGTGGAATGGGGAGGATTAGAGTGGTGAGCATTTACAGTGACATCTTATAGGACATTTTCTTACCATATATTACACATAAATAAAATGTTCCTATGAACTTACTGGGAGGGCCTTCGCTGGTTTTGGTCAAGCCCAGCACTGGTTTTATCATAGACTATAGGACTTGAATATAACTCTTCTACAATATTGTTTGCCCTCTGTTCAGAGATAAATGAAGTTTCTGACAGAAGGAAACTATTGGAAATAGGAAAAGATATACTTGAAAGTTATTATTATCTTATGACAACAGGAGCCAAGGGTGCCATAGTTTGTTTTGTTTTGTTTTTATGTTTTACTTAGGATGGAAATCTTTTTAAATTCTATTTTGATGGTTCCTTTTTATTTTTTATATGCATTGGTGTTTTGCTTGCATGTATGTCTGTGTGAGGATGTTAGATCCCCTGGAAATGAAGTTATAGACAATTGTGTGCTGCCATGTGGGTGCTGGGAATTGAACTCAGGACCTCTGGAAGAGCAGCTGGTGCTCTTAACCTCTGAGCTATCTCTCCAGCCCTTGATGATGTAAATCTTAAAATCTCCAAAGGATCAAAGAGGGAAGACTAAAGCTGACTCTGATTTCTGTTTTACCAGCCAGGTACTTTTCCTTGTGATTTGTAAGACTGTTTGGGCATGGTGGTTGATGGTAAGTGACTAATTAAGAGCACTGGCAGCTCTTGCAGAGGACTTGCGTTCGATTCCTAGTACCCACATGGCAGCTCACAACTGTACGTAATTCCAGTTCAGGGGATCCAACACCCTCTTCTAGCCTCCAGGGGTACCTGGCATTACATGGTGCACAGACACCCACAGACAAAACATCCAAAATTTACTTACTGTGAGAATAAGAATCCTAAGATAATGAATGGCAGGTAGAATATAAACTGGCAGAAGGAACAGCTCATTTGGGGAGAGTGTGTGAAGTTCCTTATTTAGTGATGATCAAGAGTGGCAAATACAGCCGGGCGGTGGTGGCGCACGCCTTTAATCCCAGCACTCGGGAGGCAGAGCCAGGCGGATCTCTGTGAGTTCGAGGCCAGCCTGGGCTACCAAGTG